ATACATATTTGTTACATTAGGTAACCTCAAAAATGGCGAAGTTCACTTTATAGTAAAAATCTAAGCCCTGAATTTTAAACTTCATGGAATCTCTTCATCCTACTTCTATTGCTGCAATAACCTTTAAAAGGGAATATCCATGACTATCGCCACAGTTACTTTACTTGAAAGCAAAGGAACTGTGACTATTGTTGAAATAAGAAGAGTCTGTGCTTTGGATACATCGTCCTGAATGATAGGGAAACGCCTAGTGGTTTAATATTTCAACATCATTACGGCTTAGTGGGGCGCAAAGTTTTAAACATTCCTCTGACTTTTTAGGCATACCTTCAACCTCTGAATGGATTAATCTATCGTTTTTTTGGTCTGTCAATTTCGACATGATTACGTTTAATTAAGCCCAAGTGTCTGAAAAGTGTCCACGTTTAGTTAATTACCCTTCATGTTGCTGGAGTCTCTAGGGTACTCTAGCCGCATGCTATTTTATGAACCGAGAGCTTATTAGCCCTATTTTACTTTGTAATGTTGAAAAATGCTTAACGATCATGTCTTGTATGAAGCAGTTGAGGATACATTCACATGAATGTATCCTCAACGAAATAATCTATTGCGAGACTATATTAAATACGAGTATACTATTACATTTATTTATACTTATATCTTGGCCTAAATCTGTCTGTACTGACCCGTGTTTAAATCATAAATACGAGTAAGTAGATGTTTATTGAATTAAAACGTAATTAGATCGTCGGTAAACGAAAGGAAACCACTGTTTCGTATTTTCCATGTTATACGAGTAATACTGAAATAGCTGCTAAATGCTGCTTAAATCCGTGTTTGAAGATACTACGGCTTCGCGGGGGTATCATTTAATCCACACTGTTGACAAAATTAGAATGTTTTATTCTTTTGTAACATTATATTTCAAGGGTGACCACATTATTGGGTAAAAAAAATATCTGATAAATTATATGATGATGGAAAAAAAATGTTTCGTGTCAAATTTATGCTTTGTTAAAGTGAGTTTTAAAACAGGGTATTAATAATCTATTAAGAAAGAATATAGCATTGCCAGCAATTACTACACCACTATTGCTTTAACTATCAACTTCACTCCATCATCATCACATCAACAGCGTTTAATAGTCCACTGCTGGACATAGGTTTTGGACTACTATACCACGCTGGCCAGACGGGTTGGTATAGGGTTTGTGTCAAGTTTTCCTACTCTCTGCAGTGCTGTTGTCTTGTGTATTTTGCTCCCTTAGTCGGCTTTTACGACACCCACGGGATGAATAGGGGTGCTGACACTCTGTATTCTTAATCAATCACCACACGGACCTACTTCACTTAATAACAGTAATTTCGGTGTTCGAACTTCTATCAACACCTTAGTGATCTTTATTTTTTATCACCCACAATTACCTGACATTTCCCAGGCGGATGTCAATTCATTACAATGCACATCAACACATTTTATTAAATAGTCGTTAAACTGTTTTATCTTACACTAGCTTTGTGTTTGTCGCACATCGCGTTAGATAGTAGCCTACGTTGCTCGCTAATAATGTAGCTTCCCATTGGTAAAAGATTTTTTGAAATAGGTTTACGCTTTTACGCCTACACTACGTAGGCGTAAAAACACACAAATAACCTCACTTTCACATTCATAGTATAAGTATGGAAGTTTGGATTATAATTTATAGTTTATCCTTATATTTAATGAAATAAATACGACTTAACTATTATAACTTACTATTGAGCATAGCCATGTTCAGTTATGATTTCTCCTTCTAGAGGATATTTTCACTTCCTCGGAATCATAATTTTTCTAGATATGCTTCCCAAATATAAGAATGTTTTTAGGTACTGCTTACCTAGACCTAGACCGATTTACAAAAATGTTTTACATTTGAAAGTGTAAATTTTTTAGTAAATCCCATGGTTATTAGGTCGGAAGTAGATGATAGAATCCTTAATATGTATACTATGCCACATAAAAATTAGCGTTTTATTACAGTAAAATGTGCACATCGGGAAGGTTGATTATGTGTCATGATTTCATGATTTGGACGTATTGAAGTCGCTTATATATTTTTTAACGATATTTATTGTAAATAGTATCTACTATAAGCTGCTATTTATGTACAGCAGTATAAAACAGTGTCGGTACACATGACTGCGCCAATAGTGCCTTAGTACATTGAAACTGAACGTGACGTTGTTGACTCCGCTAACGCTCAACCCTCAAACGACTGAAGCAAAAGTTTTTTAATGTCTGTAGTCTAAGCGCTTCAATATACTTATGTTCGCTCTTTCAAAGTTTTAAGTTTCTGAGATTCTGAAATGATACAGTAGGTACCTAATATTTATATTTTTACTGCCACACGCAAACCATGTTAACATGGTTCTTAGTCTGTTAGAAAAACATTCAAAAATTTCATTCATGAATTATCTTAATTTTAAGTGACAAAAAAAAGTCTAGTAGTGCAGCGCTCCAGAAAGTTTCGTAGGTCGACCATTTGTACGTACCTAGTTCGTTATTCTCGGGTCTCGGAAATCAATTTTCGACAATTTATATTTTCAAATAAACAAACTTATCTTTGTAATTCTGAAAAGACATTTGCATACTCCAACTCTGTGAGAAGCTTGACGTTTTACGGTGTTAAGAAACCGCAACTTTTTTCGCTTTTTCTACACGTTTCCGAAGGAAAGGATCTTGACAGATAGAAACATAGAACCGCAAGCAGATACATAGACAGATGAACAACAATGTAATTGTTTGAGGTTTACTTCTTATTTTTGCAGAAAGGAACGGATATCATAGAATTATTTATTTCTGATCTTATCATTTTGCTATTTCTCTTCTCAAAGTATGTTAAATATTGAATATCAAAAGCAATATAAAGCATTTTTATGTCCAAACAATCCCAATTAAATTAATCAAATTCAAAAACATTACAAAATACCTACACTCCGTGCAACACTGTATGAACTGTCTTTGACAAATGTATGTATAGACAAAAACGTCTTTTGTTCCTATATACATATTCATGCTTAAGGGATAAAAAAAATAATTTAAATAATATTTTTATTATTATAATATCTTTTAATATTCTTTATTTTCTTTATAAATAATAATTATAAAGAAAATAAAGAATAATAATAATTATAAAGTATTTTTTTTTCTTTATTTATACATCACAAATTCTGTAAAAGTAAACACTTACTTATTAAAACGTAAACACTTACTTGTAAAAGTACGACTGCACGGATGGTGTAGTGGTTTAAGCCGTCGCCACGCCTCTGACTACTACGCTGAGTGCTGTGGGTCCGATCCCCACATGGGACGACACTTTTTGTGATTCACAAATTGTTTTTCTGAGTCTGGGTGTTCTTTGTGTCCGTTTCATGTATGTTTGTAAAATTCCCCCGCGACACCGGATTTATTCCTAGTGCGGGAGTTGTTTTTAAAAAAAAAAGTATAAAAAAAATTACTTAGTTAAATACTTACCTAATCAAATATTAAAGCAGTTACACTAAAATTTGAAAAGGTTTATTCTTTTCATTTTATTTTTGCATCCACGATTATTTCTTGGTTCGGACGACCGAATTGTCGTCCAATTTGTTTGTTTTATTTTTTGTAGACGGGGTTGAAAATCTCTTCAGATCTCCGGCTCCTTGGGGATAAGAAGCCAAGAGTATGTATCGTTTCCACTAAAAATCGCTCTGGGGAGGACCCGGACTATGTGATTTCAGGTCCCCAAGGTACTAGGCCCTATTCTGAGGGAAGCCAAAGGCTTTTCGTCGTCTATCACTAAGTTTAGAGGCCCGATTTGCATTTTAGTGCAATCATGTCCCTTACCGCAGTAATCAATCTGCCACCAGAAGTCCCCACTCTCTGGTGGCCCGCGGATTTTATTACGATACCTACTTTATTTTTACACTAACTTACTTAACTATATGAGTATTTTAATAGCAGTATACTTTTTTTCGTAGTTATGTACAACTTACACAGCAAATAAGAATCGTGAACTCATTTATAAGACTCTGACAATTTGAGTATATTTGTTAACTTAAATTGTCAAAAAATAAACGGGTGCACAGTGAATTCATACAATAATGTATTTTCTCTTCTTTTTTATTCTTGTTATCAACAGTTAATAAGGACACCATGTGTTATCGTCCAATTTTGTCGACAGCCCTCTAATTTCAACTGGGTCACCGGTTACGACTCGTAACTTGCTGTCCCTCAACTTTCATGTAATGACTTTTGTTTGTTTTTAATTTAATTAATTCAAACGGATTATCCTGGTTATCGTTGGGATTTCTGGAAAAGTTTCTTATTGACTTTGTGCAAAGGTCGACGCACTGATTCTAATGGAAGTAACTTTTTATCTAAGTAACAAAGAGTGCTATTAATAAAATCAGTAACCTCTGTACCTTACTTCCCTGTTTCACTTTCTTACAGCTAGTTTAGTAATCAAGTTACCACCTGATACGTGTCAAAATCAGAGAAATAAATACAGTTATTTAAGTTAGGGGAGTTTATTTACTTACATTGTTACTTCTTTGTTTTTCTTCCTGGGTTGGCGGGCGTGGGGCGCGGAGCGCGGTTGCTTGTTGTAACACTAAAGATAAATACCACCGTCGTACAAGAGGAGTAATGGAGATAAATGGATGTGAATACTGCTTTATAACTTTCTGCCTTTTAATGCAGTGCATAATATAATCAACGAAGTTAGTCTACTTACATGGGTTGCTCGGTTTGACAATCGTTACAACCGACTGTTATTAATTGAAGGACACTTTTAATCCCTATAACCTTTTATTAAATTGTTACCTTAATCTACCAATTAAATATGTCAGTGCCAGTTATCAAGTTAAATAGCGTCATGGTTTCTGCCACCTTTCAACGATTACCTAATTAATTTTCAGCATCATAAAAGATGTTTTCAACGGTGAAAAATAAGCTCAAATGCGGCAATTAAGCGTTGAAGATGAACAGGCCGGGCTACGATTATACCGTGCCTGCATCCACCACCTACTATGCGAGTAATAATCGGCCTCCGCAATACGAACGCGGTTACGGACAACTCACAGCCGGTCCCCTTTATAGCCCCTCCTCGCACCCACTCTCTAATTATGCAGATATCTATGAAGGCAACAACGATACCACTCTCAGAGCAGAAGAGAGGCATTGGTACATAGAAAATCACAAAAACTTACAACCAAGTTATGAAGTCAGTGACACTGTTCCTCAAGATGCCAAAGCTAAGAAAGAAGAAGAGAAGAAAACCGAAGTACCAGTTAGACGAACTGATGCAACTTTGCCGCGACAGAGACGGAAAGAGGATAGGTGCTCATGTGAATGTTGGCCTACTGTGAATACTGACAATAACGTCGTGCAAGACAGCGCTACAGGAAATGAAACAACGAGGTCGTTGTCAGGAGTCGATGTAGTTGCTTCTTACGGCGTATATGGAAATCCTCGCGATGATGAAAGCTCGGGTTTTGCGCGAATCTCGGAGAAAAGTGCAATGTATGGACAAGGCAGTGATGCTCCTGTGCAAGGTGTAATAGTGAACCAGCAAGGGAATAGTGCGGTAGTGCGTGCCACGTCCCCATCGGAACCTAGCTGTGGCAAGTGTTGTGTGTGGACGACCAGCCCTCCGGCAGAGAACTCTGAGGACTACTGTTGGATACACTACTGCCGCCCTGCATTGATAGTGTTACTACTTTTGTTTTTTCTGGTCTTGTTGGGCGTGTCTACTGGCTTCTTACTGACTAATAACTGTAAGTCAATACTTTTATCAGTTTTTAGTAACATAACATAAAGTGGCATTATTTTAGTTTCCATAAATATTCTTCATGTTTGCGTTAAACTTTTGAAATTAAACTTCTTTAGAACCATTGTGATTTGAAAATTTGATGAAACGAAAAAGCAAAAATATCTAAAATTAAATTTATTAACATTATTAAATTATTTGTATTGATTTTGAACACAATAATAATTATGTGTATATTGTGTAAAAAATAATAATAATAATATTAATATAATATTTTGACAGCGTGAATATTTTTATCTTTTTATTTAATAAAATATTTTGTTCTGAAGTTTCACTTCTGCCGTGTGTGAATGCCCGGCCGTATGAAAAACACACTTTATTGTTATATTTTTGTCATTCCTAACGCTTTAGTACCTAGTATCTATTTATGCATGGAACTATAAAACTATTTAGTCAATAGATATTGATTTTTTTTCGCCAAAGTACTTTTTCATATCTATATATACGAGTATTTATACAAATATCTGTCAAACAACATTATTACTGCAGTCCAGCGAATGACAGTTGCTTAGCTATTTTTCAAGAAAGATGGATTTTGCTAAAAATTTTGACAGTAAGTATACCTCAAAAAGTAAAATCTACCCTATGCGGATGTGTGCTTTTTTGCTAGGGGTGAATACCACCCTAACTAGAGGGTGGTAATAAAAAAAAAGTTGAAATCAATAGAGGAATGAATTCTAAGCTAAAATTCCATCTCCGTCAACTGTGCGCCTTCACCACCCTCTATTCCATTCTCAACTCACCCATTTACCCTTCCTACCATACATCCTCATTCCAATTTCTATGTTCTAATCACAACAGAACCCTGCGTTCCTCATACAATCCACTCCAGTTATGTCCCACTCATACTTCCACGTGTGTCCACTCTTCAGTCCTAATCCAATCTGTCATCCTTTGGAACGCTCTACCTCTCGAAATCAGGATAGCAGGCATTCTGGACACCCCAGCAGATTTATCACAACCGTAAAGTTTTATAAATTATTTGTGCATATTATATGTATGTTTGTAACTTAGCAATTAATATGTGTATGTATATTTCAGTATGTATTTATGTATATCGGTCCCACTGTTTATGTCCATCTCACCAATTAAGTATAACTATTATCTTTTTAAAACAAAACCTAATTTCTAGTACACCTACTCTGACATTTCTTACCCCCTCACCGCCAAGGTTGACCCGGGAGAAAATGCCTGTGGCATTAAGTCCGCCATTGTACAAGTGAGTTGTAATTTTAATAAACTTTTTTAAAAAACAACACGTAATTTAAAAAAAAAATGATTTCATCACAAAAACTGCAAGTATCAAAATTATAGTTAGTGAGAAGACATTGTTTTTTTGTTTTTTTTTTAATGGCTTACAAATTTCGTAACACGGTAGTCAAGTATTATTATCATTTCCACATTCATGACAGTTTTTAGAAAAATTACAATTATTCTAATTTTATTGATGAATTATAAAGTATAAAGCGAAATTTTAAAAACCTATTCGTTATTTTAATGAATCCGTATCATAAAATAATGCAGTTGGCATACTGACAACTGCAGTCACCCCGCGCTAAACCGATTAATTCGAACAACTTAACTATCGCTGTTGATTTATAAAACTTTTTACGCAGTACATTCATGGTACTCGAACTACTATATATCGCATACAATGGGTACGCATTTTTTATGGAACCTAACAATTCAAATATGCGCCCATGTTTGACTTGTTATTTGCCAATTGGCAAATTGATACAAAAACAGTTAATAATTATTTTCCTGTTTATTTTTGTTAAAACAAATTTGAATGAAAAGAACTTTGTTTTTAACTAAACAAGAGGCAGCAGTAAACGGTTGTATAAACGAGTGTACGAATACCGGGTTCCATTCTCTTCCCGCTCGTTTTTCTCTCTGGCAGAACATTAATTTTAGTGGCACTCTGGGCACCACACAGAGTTCAGATTTTCAAAATGCGGTAAAACGATTTAAATTAAGAAAGTACCTTTAATATATAAAGATTAAATTTTAATGTTAAAAGCTAAGAAATTGTTAGATAGATTGTTTTTATTATGATACTATTTATATCAAATAAGTTATGACAAAATTGTAAAATAAGAACAAAGTACTTGTAGATTTTGTGCATGCTAATGATATCATGTTCAGAGTAGCTGCAAGACTTAATCGTATAGAGATTACTAAAAAGAGGCGGGTTTGATAAATATACCTTACAAAACAATAAGTGTTATCTGTCTCCTTATCGAACTCTTTATGTTTTGTGTTTTTCACCCTTAGTCTTTAAATACAACAGATTTTTGTGGTATATAGTGCTGGTCACTTATTCAGGAGTCATGTGGTCATTTCTTTGTATTTATACAAATGTAAAATAACTTTAAATTCTACGAATAATATTTAGTGTTTTTGTTTTGTACTTTTAAAATATCGAAAGGGATGCATTGCTTTTATTCCCACGTACGATCTGCCTTTAAATTTTTTTGAAATGTATTAGTTTAGACTTCGAACTTTACCCGTGTTCAATTAACTTTTAATTAATCAAAGGAAGAGTTTGCTCGCTCAAAGTTTTTTCTTTACATTTCATCAATGCCAACTTTTTCTTCTGGGGAACATTTAAAAATAATTCTTTAATATGACCTTGTAATATAAAAGTCTTACTTCTTTACGCAACTTAGTTAGAAAACGAACATACGACCTGCATCATTGTTAGCTATTATATTAAAAAACGGCCTATTATGAACACTCGGAAATATTTTACTCCAATCTACAACAAAACTCATTAATACCATCGACTTTGGTTTAAAATCAATTTATAATTAATTTTTTTGTGATTAGGTTAAAAGTTTTTTCAAACATCACATCAACAGCCTTTACTAGTCCACTGCTGGACATAGGCCTCTCCTTAGGAAGGAGGTTTTGGCCTACTATACCACGCTGGCCAAACGGGTTGGTATAGGGTTTGTTTCAAGTTTTCCTTCGCTGTGCAGTGCTGTTGTCCTGCGTAGTTTGCTCCCTTAGTCGCCTCTTACGACACCCACGGGATGAGTAGGGGTGGTGACAATCTGTATTCTTAATCCGTCACCACACGGCATACTAAAAACCAGAAATCTTAATATTTATGTTCGCTAATACGTGAGGTCTATAGACACGATACAACAGAATAAGCGTGGGACATTTTTCCATCATAATTGATTAGTCCCAAATAGTCAGCATGTATTAAATGTCAATCAATTACTGATGTGCAGATTGGCATAGCTCATTTCTAGCTAGCTCCATAATAAGTCTGATTGATTTAAGTTTTATGAAGGCTTTTAGCGTCCAGATTAACGGCACGTAATGTGTCAAATAATTCATTGTTCGATATCGTACTATAAGGACTATTTATGTGTTTTAATATTTTTTTTAATTAGTCATGCATTTCACACAATATAATTATCCCAACCATTGGGTCAAAATCCGTTATCCGGATAAACTGTTTAGCTTGAAAAGTGAATAAACAGTAATATTGGATATCCGTTTCCGATATCCGTTTTGGGATATCTAATTTTAAACCTTATGGAAAAGTGCAATACAAAACTTTCTTTCCGGTACAAACAATGCAATTAATTTATCAATATTTTTGGGTTAAAAAATGTTTCCTCTTAAATAACTCCCAAAAAATAAGCAGTAGTAGTTGGTATCTCATTTAAGAAAAGAAGAACACTAAAAGATTAAAATATCTCTCAGCTCTATATGATGTTTTCTCATGTCCATAAAACTGAACGTGTGTATTATACTACCAACCAAGGCGACGGTAGTCACACGTTTTAATAACTAGCAATTGTGCGAATAAATTTAGTCGTTTCGACAATCACTGGACATGAAACATGTCCCTACCAATTTGATTGCTAGAATATGTTATCAATGTGAAAATGTGATATGCTATAACTCCGTTTTATGGTTAACGCAAACTTACTATATAGCCTCTAATGAATAGACGCAGACAAAACGACCCTTGTTAAGCGGAAGGTATTGCAAGTAATGCGCACTGATAACGCACAGCTTTACTTAAAGCTATCGCTATTAATATACCTATATAATAATAAGAATTTAATTCACAAAAAAGGGTTTACTACATTATCACATTATACTACAAAATCAATAATAATTAAATATGGCACATCAAAATGTGAAACGTAAGCACTTAAGGCGAGGTTGCAGCGATTTTACACTTTTTTGAAGAGAAATAAATACCCTAATATGCATTTATTGTGCATGAAAATAAATATTTAAAAAAAATTAAACATATAATCTAGAGATCCGTAAAGATGAAAACATGATTTATGGAATTTGGCTCGATAAAAAAAAATCACAAACATAGCACTAACTCACGACTTCAAATAGAAATTGTTGTAGAATGCCACCATGGATTCACGTAAAAATTATAGCAAAAAATAGAGCTTATTTTTTTTTTAGGGATTTGTAAGGATACTTTTTCACTTAGTTGTACTTATAAAAAAAGGAACCAAAAAATATGTTTTTGCGCTTGCTTACGGCGGCGAAGTTTGCCTGTCAGAGCTCGCTGAGGCTTGTTTGAGGTCGGACGCACGTCATTTTCCTCCGTGAAATTCCCCCGCGCAAATACGTAAAATTCGTTTTCACAGAGCTTCAACAGAATACTTATAAGTTAATTTTAATATAATTATTCCTTCTATTTTATTTGTAAATTATTTCCGTCTACAATGTTTATAAAACAAAAATCTTAAAATTTTACAAACACATGAGTTTCACTGCGCCACAGTCTAAAAAAATCGGTATGCATGTGAGTACGGTAAATAAACAGTATTCATTGGTAGTATAGAAAGAAGGTAATCAGAAAATGTTATTAGAAATCTCTAATTTTGGTATAGTCAGGCACATTTAAATTATGTGGAATTCAACAGTAATATAAGTTTATTTATTGTTATTTTGCAG